CAAGTTAAATATTTAACTTGCAACCTAAATATTTAGGTTGCAATCAAAATATTTAGCTCAAAACTAAATATTTAAGTCACAAGTTAAATATTTAGCTTGTTAACTAAATATTTAATTTGTAAGTTAAATATTTAGTTTATAAACTATGACATTTATAAATGTATGAATCGTGGTGAAAATATTTTTTTTTCTTATAAAAGTCTAAATAAAATAAAAATATTGGTGGTAATTTTTGACTGTGTAACTTTACAAACAGCACCCATAGAACCCGTACACGATGAAATATTAATAATCTGCACACAGAGCATATTCTCATGTTGACTCTGAGGAATGATCCATGGGTCAACTGGGATTTTACTGCTTCAAAATGAGCTTTTGCTAAATTTTTAAGTGAGTTAGTGCTTTAGAATTAGGGGGGCTAAATATTAAAGTTAGTGCTTTAGGGTTAGTGCAACTAATCTTTAGATTAGTGCTGCCCACCACTGTATTATTTAAACAATAAAGGTAAAGTTGCTCAGGGTCCGTCCTCTCTTCCTTTAACAACAATCTGGAAACATCTGAGGTCAGCTGTGGGAGTTTACTACGCTCCATTGTAAACAAAATTCTGCTTTTGTTTACATTTTACACAACATCCTAACCTTTTTTTGGAATCGGGTGCTTTTTTTTCCTGGAAACACGTCAATTTTTTTGTTCTGTTTTTAAAAATAATCATATGATACAGTGCTTTTGACTGGTGGAAAAACAAGCTTTTATTGTGATTATCTTATTTACATTTCCTAAAAGCCTCCCTGGTGAAAACCAACCCAGGTCAGTTTTTCTGCACCGAGCGGTGGTAAAACGCCGAGCAGCAGCCGGACCTCCTGTTAATGATCCATCATGTTGAGACATGATCGGACCCTGGCTCCTGCTACGTTATGAAGTTAAACACACCCATGCACGTCCCTCCATGCTCCCACATAAGATCAACTTTAAACACTTTGGTAAACATTTGACATTTGTTCCAGAGAATGATGGGGGGGGGTGGGGCAGTAAACGGGACTCTGGAGCTGGAATGGGACAAAATGAAGGCAGAAAGGTCACTTCAGACTGGTTCTGTTCAACAAACGGCAACGATGAAAAGTAAAAATAAAAAAGAGCTCGCTGGATGACAAACAGATCCCAGCTCAGCCACAAAAATCAGATTTGAAAATGAAAAAGGCAGCTTGTTCAGGAGTGGACTGGAACGACCCGGTTAGCCCAGGATGTCCAGATAAACCGGCGGGTTCTTGACCAGCTCCAGCAGGCGGCTGTGGATGTCCTTGATGACCATCCTCTGCTGGGGCTCCCTCTGCCAGCAGCCCTGCATCAGCTGGTACACCTCCTTGGGGCAGGTGCGGGGCCTCTCCAGTTCCCGCCCCTGCGTGATGCATTCAATGGCCTGTTGGGGGGGGGGGGGTTTCAGAAATTCATTTTCAAGTTAAA